AGTCTGTAACTGTAGAACTACAAAGTGAACCTATATAGTAAGTGGAGCTGATAAAATGGACAATGAGCGTAGAAACAAGGAGGTGGTCATAATGTTATGCCTGATCGGTGTATATCTACATAATTAACAAATAGAGCTGTACAACCTGTCCATATACTGCAAACACATGCAGCAAAACCTTAAGGAATTATTGTGAAGGTAAATACTAAACATAATTTGCATTTTGTCATTTAAGCTCCCATATAAGTTGCCTTAGTTCAATGGGAAGATATTTAAGGGTTCATAAGGCTACTTAAAAATTGCCCTCATTTACCCCTTTTTTTACTTAGACAACAACTGGAACTTGTGGAGAAGTACATCTCTGACACACTCGACTACATCAGAATAGCTCAGACATTTTGTTGTACTGAGTCAGAGTGGACCCATCAGAGGGAGTCGGAGATGGAAAAGATGGAAGAGATCAAAAGCCGCACAGGGAGCATCTTAACCCAATATCTTGGATTAGGAAGGCAGGAGCTGGAAAAGGAGATGGAGAACGAACTGGGGGCAGTTCTGAAGGACACTCTGGAGGGGCTGAAGAATCTTCAGCACTTCCTGGATGCAGTGGAAAAGCTAGCAGTCACCTCGGTGTTTGTGTTCAAGGAGATGAGCCTTGAGTCTGTGCAATTATGGATCTACATCGCCAGAAGCATCTCTCCATTGCTCATCAGCTTCAAGAGAGATGATGAAGCTTTCTTCTTGCCTAAACTCGAGAATGTGGATGTTCTGCTTGTGCAGCTGCAGAGATACATCGACTTGACCAAAGAGCTCTGTAGTAAAATGAAGTGAGTGTTTATTTCACACAGTTATTACATTTTAAAATGTAGAATTTAACCGTAAAATGTAATTTCTAGTGAACTATTTATTGAATTCTCAAACAGAATGTTTACATTTTAATGTTGAAATTCATTTATCATGTATAAGCCAACACACTTACAGGAAATAAACTGGAGCAGCCAGCTATTTTGGTTGGTATAGCACAAAAAAAAAATCGTACAGTGCAGTGAAAAGATAAGGAGCAAATAACCAAAGGAAAAAAAAAGAAACATTTATTGCTCGTGTGAAAAAGTAATTGCCCTCCAAACTTAATTAACTGTTGTTGTGCTGCTGCTGTTGTTGTTATTGTTGTTGTTGTTGTTGTTGTTGTTATTGTTGTTGTGTCACCTTTAGCAGAAACAACAGCAATCAAACACTTCCTATAACTGGAGATTAGTATTTCACATACTCTGGTAAAGCACACTGGGAGCCATTCCAGGCAAAATTTGAACTGATAGCCAAATTGTTGGTTGCCCGATGAACAGAAAGCCCTGCAGCTGACACTTTGTTTGACTGATGATGCTTTAGCTTGTCTCTACTACTACTAGATCCAATCTAACTACAGTGCATTACTTGGAGTGCTCCGAAGGCGTTTGGGTCAGTACCACAGACCTGGTCTTTTGCAAACTGTATAACCACTGTAGACTGGTCAGGGAGTCATTGAGCGCCCTAGCTAATGAAATTGAGATGCTAGCCAGATGGGTTTATGCTCACATTCTGCCCTAAGTTCAAAATGAGCTAGCATGTGACCAGTTCATCAGAGTGCTGTCTCCAGAACAGCTCTATGTTCACACAGAAGTAGCTTGCCGATGAGACTTGCAAGAGGTTCTGGAGTATTCGTTAGGGAGGGAATGGCGCTGTCAGCAGGTCTGAGCTGAGCAGATGATTGAAATGATTCATTGGCTGACTATTCTGACTATATAGAGATGTGGGAAAACTGGTGTTGATTGTGCGGCCAGCCTTGCCACCTGGCATGCCCAGTGAGAAGCAAGTCGACAGAAAACTCGCCAGGGTCACAGTAAGTGGGACTCTGCAGGCCCCTACATCCTTGCCCCACATACCTAACGTGAGAACATCTCAGGGACTGAAGATAAAAACTGCAAACTTATCGTGCCGGTGGTGGGGCATATGTCATGGGGATGGAAACGGGGCAAAAATCTGACATCTGCCCCACCACCGGCACAATAAGTTTGCAGTTTTTATCTTCAGTCCCTGAGTTGTTCTCACTTTGGGTATGTGGGACAGGGTCAGTCCCCTGTTCCCTTCATTGGTGCTGTGGGAGTTCCATGCACTGCGCTGGTGGAAACTTGGTTGACCCTTACGTTGGCTGGTCCTGAAATGGTTCCTTGTGGGGGTCAAGCTGGAGGATATGACAGTTCACCTACACACTGTGACTGGTGATTTAGCACCAATGAAGGGAACAGGGGACTGACCGTCAGGAGTAAGAATATGTGCCATTTAGTCTGGATAGCGGAGATGCAGGAAATGTACATTCTAGGCCTTGATTTTTTGAGAAATGCTGCATGAAGGCATGGAGGGAGGTGAGGAGAACACAGTCTCTTAAAGAATCAATAAAACAGTAATACATTATGCATTAAGTTTCCAATTAACCAGATTGCATAGATGGGATACTGGAAGAAGCGGCCAGCGTAGCTCCCACAAAGCCAGTGAAACCAAAGGCCTCTCTTGGTAGCCTATGCGCTAACCGGTTTGCGTTGCTCATGCTTGTATGGTTGCTGCAAAGGTAATAAGTGAAGCTGGACGCAGATACAAGCTGCTTGAAATGACTGATATGTTAACTGAGTTGTTTTTGCTCTGAACCCCTTAGCTTGGGCATTTAAATACCACAGTGATAAGTAGAATCTGTCTACTCAGAATTATTAGGTCTTTATTGGGTACCAGTGTTTTCACTGGGTACCAGCTGAGGTTGATCGAGTCACTTCATGATCGGCTTCTCATGTGGCGGATAGCTTGTACGGTAAAACTGCTGGACGCTTTATATCATTGAGGAGTATCTACTTCAGACATTACAGCGCAGTATTTATGATTCTGTCCTGTCACAGAAAAACTTTTATTTTGAAGCTATAAAGTGATTGACAGGCCTGTGGATTAAATGACTGACAGTGACATCTCTTTAGAAGAGGACAGGGCCATTAGGTGTTTTAAACCAGCTTACATGTGCCTTTATTACTGGACTGAAGACAGCCTGAAATGAATGGAAGTGAACAGAGAACTTCTCTCAATTGGTCATCTCGTGCCCGAATAGCTAACTTCTGGTGGCACACGTTAGAGGGCCTGCATGGAACTAAGTACATTTCACACTTCAATATAAAACCAAAGACTCGTTATACTCAAGAGGGTACACTTTTCACAGTTTGGCCTTTATACAGTATCTCACAAAAGTGAGTACACCCCTCACATTTCTGCAAAAACTATAGAAATGAAACTTTGATATAACTTAAAGTAGTCAGTGTACAGCTTGTATAGCAGTATAGATTTACTGTCCTCTGAAAATACACAGCCATTAATATCTAAATATCTGGCAACACAAAAGAGTACACCTCACAGTGACCATGTCCAAATTGTGCTCAAAGTGTCAATATTTTGTGTGGCCACCATTATTAGCACTGCCTTAACCCTCTTGGGCATGGAATTCACCAGACCTGCACAGGTTGCTACTAGAATCCTCCTCTACTCCTCCCTGATGACATCACGGAGCTGGTGGATGTTAGACACCTTGCACTCCTCCTCATTCGCTTGAGGATGCCCCAAAGGTGCTCAATTGGGTTTAGGTCTGGAGACATACTTGGCCAGTCCATCACCTTTACCTTCAGCAAGGCAATTGTCATCTTGGAGGTGTGTTTGTTATCGAGTTGGAAAACTGCCATGTGGCGCAGTTTCCGAAGGGAGGGCATCATGCTCTGCTTCAGAATGTCACAGTACATGTTGGAATTCATGTTTCCCTCAATAAACCACAGCTCCCCAGTGCCAGCAGCTCCAGACCATGATGCTACCACCACCATGCTTGACTGTAGGCAAGAGACAGTTGTCTTGGTACTCCTCACCAGGGTGCCACCCTGGACACCATCTGAGCCAAACAAGTTTATTTTGGTCTCGTCAGACCACAGGGCATGGTTCCAGTGACCCATGTTCCTGGGCTGCTTGTCTTCAGCAAACTGTTTGCAGGCTTTCTTGTGCGTCAGCTTCCGAAGAGGTTTCCTTCTGGGACGACGGCCATGCAGACCGAGTTGATGCATTGTACGGCATATGGTCTGAGCACTGACAGGCTGACCTCCCACTTCATCCACCTCTGCAGAAGGCTGGCATCTTATGCATCTGTTTTTTGAAGCCAACCTCTGGATATGACGCTGAACACGTGGACTCAACTTCTTTGGTCACTGATTACTACACAGACTACTTTAAGTTATATCCAAGTTTTATTTCTATTTGTGAGATATATATATATATATATATATATATATATATATATATATATATATATATATATATATATATATAACATCAAGCTAGGCTTTTGGGAAGCTCTAGATGTCACAGACTGTGAATATGAGTGGTAGCCTGTTCAGTGTGTTTACTCAGTTGAAAAGGAAAACACCTGTAGCAGTTCTATGCCAGGACTCTTTACTGAAAGAGTTACTGTGGAACTGCTACAATGTAAATTATGTCCTAAAACTGCTACATGGTAAAATACATGTGAACTGCTATTAGCTCAACACTGGCATACTACTAGAATCCCATAGAGGTGCTAGCAGAAATTAGCAATATTGTAGAGGCTTTGACGTTTATAGCGTAAAGACTTGCTGTAATAGTCAGGTTGACTGTTAGATCAACTGGCTCCAAAAAGATTTTGAGTGATTAAATTCCAGGAATGTAATAATCCAGATCATACAAAATTATCCACAGAGCAGCCAGCTAAGTAAATGTGATCGTAAGATTTGACCACATAATTTGGCCACAAGAGAAATTAAAAGAAATTAATTTCCATTTCATCAGTATTGTCAGTACAATTGTAATGTTTCAGCTCATTTTTTTTTAAAACAAACCTTTTTCCTTAACATTTTTTAAATATATTTACATTTTATAACTTCTAATCTATTTCTGATTTATTACATGTGGTATAACAGTCATCCATTACTGAAGCTCACTGAAGTTTATTTGAATTTAAGTGGGTTCAGGCAAAATGTGACTGACCACTTGAGCCAGCTGAGCGAAATCAGGTAAGATCATTTCACCTGTTTAAAGACTGTCCTCATTTTTACATTTGAAGAGTCTGTGACATTTTGGTTCTGTTGGATAGTTTTGCTTTATTCACTCAACTCAAAATTCAGAATTTACCCCTTTCTTTCAGAATGGACGAGTCATTCAGGATGTCATTCTTATTTCATGGGGAAGGTCAGGAATTCATTGACACCTACAGCGAATGTCGCTCCAGGATGTTCCTGTTCCTGGCAGATCTAGAGGAGACTGCAGTCGAGCTGGATAAAATGAAGACGGGGTCCAGCATCTCCACTGTGGCAGGCAGTTCAGTGGGTGCTGTAGGAGGTGTCTTATCCATTGCAGGCCTGGCTCTGGCCCCCTTCACTGCAGGAGTGTCCCTGGGTTGTACAGTTATGGGAGTTGGGATGGGGGTCACCAGCGGAGTCAACAGCTTAGTTACAGGCATCACTGAAATGGCAGTCAACAGACATCATGGGAAAAATGCCAAAAGCATCTTTCAGAGGTTTATGGAGGACGTACAGAAGGTTTATGATTGTCTAGATCAGGCAGCTAGTTGTGAACATCCTGTCCCAAACCTGGACGAGGGTGATATTGTGTTTAAAACTGGGAAAATGATCTGTCGTGTTGGATCAGTAGGCAGCGGAATTGATGGCCTCGTGGAAGGAGCTTCAGCTATTCAGATTCTCAAGAGTGAGGAAGTAGCTAGGGCTGCGGTCAATATGGGCCTTCAGGAAGCTAATGCAGTTTGTAGTATCCCCAAACTTGCTGCAGACCTGCCTGACATCGGGCAGCTGGCTAAGGGCACTCCTCTGGCGATGACAAAAGCAGCTAGAATGGGGTTTATGGCAGCAAATGTTCTATTCATTGGTGTGGATATTGCATCTATCTACAAAGGTAGTGAGAGTCTGGCTAAAGGTGAGACAAGTGAAGCGTCTCAGCTCATCCGCCCCAGGTCAGCTCTGTGGCTCTCAGAGATGCAGGCATGGGATAAGATCTATGAGTGTCTGTGTGAAGAAAAAGAGACGTTCCAGAGAAACCTGGAAATTCTACAGCAACCTTTAATAGTAGTGGAGTAATCGGACTAAAATGCTTAAGTGGCTGACAGAGTTTGAAAACAAGAATGACTAATTATTTAAAAAGTAATTTGACAAAAATGAACTGCTACATGTTTTTTCTTTGCGGTACAAAGTAGATCAAGTTTGGCTGGACTATCAAATGTCACGTTTAAGACAATCAAACACTTGTAAAATACATGACAGTGTGAATCTATTTTATAAAATGTTTGAAAAGGTGTAAAGCGTTTAGCATTTTCATTAAGCAGTTTTGGAGAAACAATGATTTGAGGTCGATTACTACGTGAACATGGCTCGAGGGGGAGAGCGCGAGTGAGAGAGAGTGAAGGAGACAACAGGAGAGAGAGCAGTGAGGGTCAAATACAGCACTTGCATAAAGCTAACTCGCTGCTAACTAGCAATGTTGACTCACTTAATTCAAAATAATGCCTACTTGCAGCCGCACTACACTATAAAAAAAGTTTTAACTTTAAAAAGTTAGTGTTCAGGCTGCCTTAAAATTTTGAGTTAATTGAATTTCAAATAGTGTGTTAATGCAACAAGAATCAACTTATTATTTGACTTATTTGAAGTCCAACTTATTATTTGAAGTTCAAGTTTTATGCTGTAACCATATGTTATATACAGGGTGTACCAAAAAAACTGACATCGTTTGAGATGTGAGTTTCTGAGTAACTACATGTCCTGGCAAACGAAATTAAATAGGCTTCATGTTGAGCAATACAAGATTTATTTAGCAACATTCAAACAAGAAATTCTGAGGGATGTAGATTTTATAACTGATTTCACAGCTTCACAAATGTTCAATATGCACACCGCCTGTGACGCGACACGCGTCAAGTTGGTAGTCCAGCTCCTGCCAAACACGCTGTAGTATGTCTTGCATAACAGTCTCCAGCACAGTAGTGATTCTCTGCTTGAATTCCTTTAGGCTTGTAGGAAAGGGAGGGGCTGGGGGATATAGAGTCCTTTCACATAGCCCCATAGAAAAAAATCACAAGGTGTCAGGTCAGGTGAATGTGGTGGCCATTTCAACATTAAAAATTAAACTTGGTTAGTTTTTACACATTTTATGAAAATTTGAGATCGTTTGAGGGAGAATTGGCTGTTATTAGACTACGAAATGATGTCACTTTTTTTGGGAGACCCTGTATTTCTTCACTTTCTAGTGCCAAAGGGACTTTTTTTCTCGCTCATGTCATCGTTGTCATTATACTTTGAGTTGAGCATTTTGGAGAGAATTTATTTTTATTTATTATTTTTTTAAAGCTGTCCATTAGCAGAAAAAATGTAATACTATGAACACCAGTTTACAATAACTACACTGAAACACTGTAAATATACACTCAGACCTTGACATGTGGACAGGCTAACATCAACTTGATGTGATTTTTAGCTCATGCATGTCATTATACACTTATACTTTGATTTGAGCTTTGAGAATCTTAGCAGTAGAATGTTAATATGTGGTTTAGAATTGAAACATATTTAGTTTCGTTTAGCTGGATTTAAAAAAAAACTGATTTGTGGGAATTTGCTCTGTAAGAAGTGTGCTCATCAATCTGATATCTGACTTGCAACTCCAAAGGCTTTTGAGCTTTGTGTTTGTGTTTAAGGGCAGCCTGAGGACTCATTGATTCAGGATTCTTCTCTGTTTCTGTGACCAAATGGCAGGTGTGGTCATAAATAACAGGTCATGCTGTGCATAGAAGGTATTCAGTTGTGCTAAAGAACAGCACATTGTCTTTGATAACATATATGTCCATTTTACACACTTGAAAGGCTTAAATAAACACTTCAAAGTTATTGGGCAAAAGCTCTTGAGTGATGTAAAGGAGACAAGCTTAATCAGAGGCTTTAGTCAGTCAAGCCAGTCTGCTTTTTCGAGAGTGGCTGGAGTCGCTGTGAGGTCAAACAGTAGCAGACTGTTATCTGTGTAATGGGGACAGAGAGAGACGGCCGAATGCTGGAGAGAGCCATGTTTCAGTCTTTTTGATTTATTTTACATTCAAGTATTCCTTATTTTTTCTTTTTATTTGAATCAATTTATACATAAAACTTGTTTTTTGTCTGACAAATTCTTTGAATAAATCTAGTAAAGACATTGATGACTGTGCTGCGACTTCATTTTTCACCAATACAACCAAAAACCTTACACTTAATTACAGAGACAAGAGACACTTCTTACTCCTTACATTTTCATTTGGATACTCAAAGTACCTGTTAGAAATGTCAGAGGAGCAGGAGCATTTATGTGGAGCAGGAGTGCAGTGTGTTCAAACACACAATCAGCAACAAGGACATTTATTATTCTGATTTTGGCCAATCAGTGCAGTTTTATGAGATAAGTAATGTGAAGCACCCGCACTGGATTTTAGATGCCGCTGCTACACTTAAACTACAATGTTGTAGCCAGCCAAATATCCAGTCACCTCTAGCTTTACATGTAGCTCTTTTTCTGGTGCATGTTATTGAAAAATGTAACTGATTTTTTAATTTAATTAATCAATCAACCTTTATTTCAACGTAGAAGTACATTGAGGGTGAAACTCATTTACAGTGTAGCAATGAGCAAATTACACAGGGTTTGGGTTAAAATTAAAAATTTCAATTAAAACAAATGAAAATCAGCAAGACAAGAAGATTTATAAAAATTAAACAAAAATCAATAGAAAATTACAGCTCAAAAAGGAAACGGGCATAAAATATCAATAACATATAATAAAAACACAATAACGGTAAGTAAAAGAACCAACTTAGATAGTAAGCAATAAGAAAACTTAATAAAAAATAATAAAATTTAAAAAAAACATGAAAAGATTTACTAGAATAGAACAGAAAAAGAATTACCCTCAGATAAAACAGTTGAAATAAAATAGTGAGATAAAATAAAAAATAATAAAATGAAATAAAAAAGAGAAAGGAAATGTTAAACTAAACTAAAACAGTTACAGCCTGTCTGAAGGTGGCTAGAGACTAAAAGTTTAAAATGACGCCAGCGAGACGAGTTTTAGAGACTCCTGAATTCCAGCTCACTGGTGCTCTGAACTAAAAGCAAATTTTCCCAGTTCAGTAAAAACTCTCAGTACCTAACAGGTGATCCAGTCACCAGAGTGGGTCTGATAATTATTGTTATCTATAGAGATCATAGATGAGATATAAGCTGGCATATGGCCAGAGAGTGATTTATAAATAAAAATAAGCCAGCATGATTGCCTTCGTGCTGCTTTTGTAACCTCCATAACTAGTTTATGTAACACCTTGCTGTAAGGGAGCGTTTAGAGGTGGACATCTGGTTCCTATCACCACCACTGTGAACGATTCTGACTCGGAATGTTTCTCTACAACTGAGCATTTCACACCAAACCACTCTGACTTTGCTTACACCCAAACCATTTAATAATGAAGATATTTTGGAAATTCTGTGGAATTGCCCTTTTACTTCACACACAGAAATGCCATTGTCATACTTATAGAAGAGCCCACTTATTCAATGTGTGGAAGCTCATTTATGTTGCTCAGAATTAAAGTAAAAACATTACTATAAACTATTATGTCTCTTAGTAGTTCTTTTTTCCCAGATAGGTCATAAATAGCCTCAATGTAAGCAGTGTAACTGGAAACTGCTGTTTTATAACACAGTAAACAAGACTGATTAATAAGGGAATCCACAGAGGAAAGTTAGGACCTAAGTATTGTTGCCATGGAGGAAACAATAACTTTCAGTCTGTTTTTGTGTATGTGGGCAGGAACACAGTAGCTGGGGAACACTGTTTAACAAATCCGTCTATTGTTCGGCTGGCAGACTGGTCAGTCTCGTGGTGCTGTTCGCCCAGAGCAGCCTGTATCATGAATGGGCTTGTGTTGAGTTGTTTATGTGCTGAGCTGAACTTCTGGGTGAAGTTTACAGCTGGAGTTTCAGGCTTTGCTGGAGAAGCTGTTCAATTTTAAGAGACTCCAGATGAATAACTTTAGGCCTTAGTGACCTATCCTGTTAAAAAACTAACAAAAAAGTGACACTGGTCATCCAGTACCAATGGTTCCAGTTTTCCCAATGTTTGTTGCCTAATGGTACTTGAGGGTGTTCTCCTCTGTGTTTGCTAACACTTGCAGCTGCAGCTAATGACAATTTAGTGAATTCTTTGCTCTTCCAGATAAATATAAATTCACCAAGCACCATTAAAATCATCAGGCAAAAAGAACTCAAGTAAACCAGAAGGGTATGGTCGTGTATTGATTACTGTGTGTAGAGTTATTACTGTGTTAAGTGTTTGCAAAGATTGGTAAGCTAATGCTGATACTACTAGCATTAATGCTAGCCACCACAAAACTGTGGTTTTTCTTTGTTTTCACACTTTACAGAGAAAAAATAAGCTGTGCTTGATTCTACACATCACTGTATGTGAAATTATAGACATTTGTGTGTATTTACATGCAGCGCTGTATGTTGTTTTGTATCATCTAACAAGTTAAGCTAACTATATAACTAGCTAGCACAGTAGCTAATTAGCCAAATTGCTTTAGAGTGGCATACAATGACCAAAGCCAACAAAAATGGCAATCACAGCTGTTGTGATGGTTACAGTTGTCTCTCAAATAGGTGGAAAATAAACTAGAATCGCAAGTTTTTTGTTTCTGAATATGCAGAGGGAAAATGTCCATAGAGTCACATGTATAAATAAATACCTGTACCTATTATCATGTTGCCCTGCGATGGACTGGCGACCTGCCCAGGGTGTATCCTGCCTTCCGCCCAATGACAGCTGGGATAGGCTCCAGCACCCCACTGTGACCCAGAAGGATAAGCGGTTTAGATGATGTATGTATGTATGTATTATCATGTTTAAATACAGTTTCAGTTCAGAAATCTGACTGACTAAGCCACACTTAAAGCTGCTGTGTTTAGTCTGCTCGAATCCACAGTATCATTAAAGCAAAAGAGAGAAAACAATACAAAGAAATTCTGAAATTCATGTAAAAAGTTTAAAAAGGCTACTTTTCACTCAAACCTTAAATTTATGCTTATAATATAAATCGCAATGGAAAACTTTGTACTAATTGAAAAAATGCAAAATAGAAGCACATTCTGTAGTGGTCCCACACTTTTGGACCAAAAACTTTGTTACCCTTCATTTGTTTTAGTGCTATATGCTTTATTATAGTTCTTTTATTTATTATTTTATTGTAAAATCATCCATTTTTTAAGAGGTAATTTTCACTTGGAAGACAATTTGCCCTGTAAATTGTTTCCTTGAGATGGGCAGAGTAGCCAATCCGACAGTAAACCATGAAATATGTTTCTTTAAGAGTTCTTCAGTAAAGGGAATTGTTCTATTTAGAACCATAAGTTCTACATAGAATCGTTTCATGCTTAAATGGCTCTTTGCCTGGTGAAATGGTTCTTCAGACTGGTGGAGAATGTGTTGCATATGGCTCTATATAAGAACCTTTTTGAAAATGGATCTATATAGCGCCAAAAAAGGGGTTCTGCTATTTTTACAAGGTTGACGTCATGGCATTTAAGCCCGAAATGGTTCTAGATAGAACTCAAGAATCATTTTTTAAGGAGTGTAGGGGGCGGGGCTTGCCTGAATACGGGTGGGAACTCAGTGCTGAAACTGAATGTGAGGTGTTAGATGCTAAAGGGAGAGGTGAGCAGTGACGAAGTTTTGAAAGAATTGCTGTTGTCTTTGAAAACT